CCATGCAATTCGAATGTGGTTTATAAGATCAGTTGCAATAATTGTAATGCATCTTATGTAGGCCAAACAAAGAGGCAATTGCAGACGCGAATAAAAGAACATAAAAATAATATTAGGTTGGACTCAACGAAACATTCAGTAATTTCTGAACACATAATAAATGAACATCATACTTTTAATTGGGACAATGTTAAGATCATGGACAACGAAAATAATTATTATAAAAGACTCATTTCTGAGATGCTACATATCAAGGAACAAAAAAATGGACTAAATTTAAACAAAGATACTGAGTTACTTAGCGAGTCGTATTTTGATATTTTGGATATATTAGCGAACAAGAAATAATAATAGGACAAATAGGACATTAACGAGTAAAACATAGATATTAGATCATATATAAACACGCACGCTCTCCGATCAAGTAGAGTTTAAAATGAGCTGTCTTTCTGTATTGTTGGTTTGTTATGTGTCATCCTTAATAACTGTTAATAAGTAGCAAAATTATCAAGAAGAACGATGATAGGTAAGCATACTACCAATTGTAGGGGATACATATTATAATTTGGACATGCGTTGATCGGTAATTTTTTATAAATCGCAGCGCCTACGGAACGGGTTAATTTCTCGCATATTAACGATGAAACTATCCGAGATCTGAACAAAATCAGGGATCATATCGAGGCGAACATTGTTGGACAGGACGGATTGAAACACGCGTTAATTACTCAAAAACTCTTGATTCTGAATAACTATAATTAAATTTCGATATTATGTGAATTGTAAGAATTTATATTTCAATAATTATACTGAAGAAGACCGCGTGCGGTCGAAACGTTTATAGAATGATTGTAATTTGCGTTAGTTTTAATATAATGACTGTAGTTTTATAATTTATACATGTAATAAATGGTAGTTGACTGAACATCTCGAATATTCAGCTCGATAAGTTGGCCTTATATTTATCACTTTGTTTTTTAATCATTTTTATTTAATTGTAATTATATATTAATATTTTTATAATTTTTAATAGTTTAATATTATTGTATTAATATTTTTATATATCAATATTTAATTATAATTATTTTTTAATCATTTTTATTTAATTGTAATTATATATTAATATTTTTATGCTATTTATTAGTATCTTCTTATAAATTCTTATAAATTTATTAGTATCTTCTTATATATGTGATATATTCTTAATATATTACATTTAATTTAAATATTTTTATATGTTCAATTGACAAAATAATATTTTTAATTGAAAGGTTTAGTCAAGTTAACAAATTTTTTTACAGTGTATTATACAATGAGAAAGAGAAAAAAGAGCATCATCAAAAGGAAAATTATTCTGAAAATAGCACTTTTTATTTTCTTAATTTTGTTGCGATCATAGATCATTTTTAAAAGTCTCTATTAACAATGTTGTCTTGAATTTAATAAAATAGATTGATATTAAATACTAAAATAAAACTGATATTAATAAAACATTAATCATAAAATAGAACAGTATTAAAATAAAATACTCGTTTCGTTTCGTTTATATTATTATTAATAATTTCGCGGTCACGAAGTTATAGATGCATTTTACCCGCTTTGATAAAGATTAATCAAGCTAAAATTAATTAATAAAAATAATACAATCTATTCTCACTTCTCTAGAAAAAATCTTATATTCATATATTAGAAAAACAGATATTATCGGGGAAGTGTCACTATATAGAATTTATATAATATAAAAATAATACATACATATAAATATGACAGATATACATATATTAAAGAATAAATGGCAGCGACTATTATAAAAATTTTCAAAAAAAAATTAATTAATAAATTGATTTTATTCTTTAATATTTTTACTCATAATATTTTTGGCTTGCGATTACTTTTACGTATGACGTCATGCAAAATAATAATTCATCCGCAAAAATAATTGATCTGGAAGATATACGTGGGCTTTGTCCACTCTTCCTTGGGTAATTTCCATCTTTAGCAGAGCATGTACAAGCGCATACAAGGAAGGAACATCCACTCATACATCTATTTAGCTTTTACACGTACTTTTATATACGTTCCGACCGGAACCGCTCCAATTGGCCGGGCATTTATTTTCGAACATCTTTATTTATCGTGCGACGCATCGTAAAAGAGCCGGGACACGTCGCATTAAGATTTTACAGCCCGAGCTCAATGTGTAACCGCGATGAGAGAGCGCAAACTTATCGTCATCATAACCCGTACAAAGTATATATCCCTACCATTCGCGGCTTATTTTCAATCTCCGTTTGTTTACCTGCAGAAATGTTTCAAGGTTGCTGAATATCCGAATCTAATTAAGTTTCTATTATTCTGGATCGATAAATTTTTTTTCATTTTCTTAAATAATATATTCAAAAAAATGCATTTTTATTTATATTAATATAAATAAAAAAATACATACATAGGTTTTAAAAAATATTTGTATGTAATTTTTATTTTTTATCTATAATTTTTTTATTTTTCAAGAAATAATAAGAATAGAATATTTATTAGACGTTTGATAATTGCAGTTTCGTGATGATATGTGTTTCGTAATCGTATTCATGTAATAACTGCAAGATGTTTTGATCTGCACATCTTCCCATTGCGAAAATATTACGTTACATATTTTGACAATGGAAACTTACAACCGCATATCTGGTTTCACTTCACACGATTCTTGCATACAAGAGATCATGTTTCCTCGTATAAGGCACGAGACATATTATCAAATATTTCCAAATCTTTGCAATTTTAAAGCATGTCAATTTAATTTTTTATTATGCTAGTTTATTATATTAATTTATATTATTTTATTATTTATTATAAAAATTATATTAATATTAATTCATTACTTTATTACATTAATATTATTTTAGATATAAATCTCTCGCAAATCTTGCACATGAAAGACTCTAGTTCACAGTTCAAAATTTCATAATTATGTAAGCATACATTCTAGATTATGTTATGCTTTTGTGCACACAAACGTATTTCTCGCTTATGGCTAATGTAATAACGTAAATGGAGAAGCATTCATATACAAGGTGTTTCGAAACATGAAACTTAATTTTAAAAATCTTTTTATAATAAATTTACCATTTGAAACTGATCAAACATTAAATATTTTCTCAATTACATCTTATACATTTTATACATTCATTTGCATTTAAGCGAGCACTATTTTTTTATTTTTATTAGATATTTAATTATACTTTAAGGGGATGCTGACCATGACTGTTTTACCGACCTCTTGCATCAGCTCATAACAACAGTTATTTAATACAAAAGTTCTGCAGTTCATTTGTGCACAAAATATGGCGCTTCCAATAGAGATGACATGAAAGAATAACAACGCTTCTCATTCATTATTATCAGTACTTTCATTGTGGAGGATTTTTCAATCTGTATATTCAATAAAAAGTGAACCTAACCTAACTTAAAGTCGGTAAAACAGAACTACGGCAGCATCCCCTTAAAAGCTGAGTTATCAAAAGATCTTTGATCTTCAATGGCTGATAACTCGAAATAACTATCAACTTTCCAATCTTTCATCATGCGACGGACTCGCAATGAAATTAATCGAGAAGTCTGTTACGAGATTATAAATTCAGGAGCACTCTGTACGTGTATGCAAAGTCTTTACACAGGAGCGCGAGAGTAACTTGAGACCCTTGTGCGAGGCAACTATTTAAACCGCTGACCGTAAACAGAGAAGCCCGGGAGAGAAAGGCACCCCGGGTTCTTGTAAGGGCGTTAATTACAGGGCTCGCGCGGGCTTTTGCTTTCTTTTGCCTCGGTCGATTTCCGTTGCCGGAAACGGAGTCCCTCTCGCCGAGTAAAAAGATGCAATAAACGCGAATGGTCGAGTGCGCGCGACCATTTACTCTTGGTACACTTACTCGGTACATTTACCTACTACACTTTGGAGTGATAAATGCGCGAGTGAAATATAACTCTTGTTTTTATTCTTAAAAGAAAAAAAAACTGCCTTCACTTAATATCTTCGTGCACATATTTGGATACCCTAATTAGCACTTCTATCTCATTTGATGATGACGGTAATGATGATAAAATAGCATATAGGACAATTTTAAATATAATTGAAGAGAATGTTGAGCAACAATCTTTTTTTAAGAATTTTAAATATATGTAATAAAATTAATTAAAATTTGACATTTTTTTACATTTTTAATTAAATTATTTTGTTATATTATATCAATATTAATTGTAGAGAAAAATATGTTACATCTCTTCAACGGAAGAAGAAGAGTGCTAAAGGTTAAAGAAATTATAAATAAAAAAAATGGATTTTTTAGAAATTATTTTAAATCATACAAATTGCTCAGTCTAGAAGTGGAGACGAAAATATATGACAAATGAGTTTTCAGGGATAAATTTAAATTGCCGAGAAGTGATAGATAAAAGATTTTACTAAAAATACTTTTCCTCGATTGCGATTTTATTTTCTGCTAAATTTATCTCAGCGCACTTTTATTTAAATTGGTTCTTAATTCCGTCAGCAAAATCTGGATTTTTCCATTTTTTCCAAATTGTTGTTCAAATTTTGCTTTGTATATAAACAATTGGATTTAATATTTGGGTTTAAAATCTAGAATTTTTTGGATTTTTGAAAGTATCCAGAAGATGAAAATAATATGGGGCGAACTTAAGATTCAGTTTACTGACGTTAGTAAAAAAAAGAAAAAAAGATTGCAGAGGGTTTATTGGAGATTTTATATTCATCTGTGTAAAATAACTGACTTCGAACAATAAGACGTGCTTCGGCGAATCGAAAGAACGTATCGTATTACTCGTTTAATGACGAAGTCAGAGGAGAATCGAGCACTATACGGACTATGCAATCATCGTTTCAACTTACTCTGGAATTACCGGGCGTATTCGAAACATGACACGACAATTGCCATTACCTAGTCTAAGCATACGCTCATGCGAATTACTCGATTCTGTTTCAGACACATCGTACGAGAAGGCCTGTCGAAGGGGTAGCGCACCCGCCACTCCTGTGCTTGGGGCGCGACCCTTGGATGTCACCCCGAACAGGATCGTTGTAAGTAAATTTGATTACTCGTGTAGTAATTTGTTAATACATAATCGTTCCTATCGCACCAATAATTCGCGATTTCATTTTGACATTTCCCGACATACGACATTTATTAATATTCCTAAATAACTATTTATACATAGACAGGATGTCTACACCCTGAGAGAATTTTCTCTTAGAATTTACCCTGAAAATCATAGACAATATGGTATTGGAAGAATTTTATAAGAATTTCTCTGATTAATATTTATCACAATAAAAAATATTGATATGTACATAGTAAAATTTATCGGACATGTTTTATATTTTATTGTGGTAAATATTAACCAGAAAATATTTTATTACATAAGAATATTTTAATTCCTAAAAATATGAATTCGATCATACGAACTTCTTTTGTCGTTGACGAAACATCATAACGATGGGACGTGTTCCTCTTTTAATTTTTAACTTTTAACATCATAACGATGGGACGTGTTCCTCTTTTAACGTTTAACTTTCGATTTCAAATAACACCGGTGTGATGTTATGTTAACCTCGGTTTAATTGATGAAATTTCACTTGAAAAGGACCACAACCAAATGGTCGAAACGTCGTGAAATAATCAAATAAAATTGCTAGTTACGTCGTAGTCAAGTCGTTTAAGCTTATTTTCACCACTAGCGACAAATATTAATTTTGATTGATATTAATTTTAATTGATCGAACTTCTTTTTGTTCTTTATTTTTTCTATATACATTATATATATATATTTTGACATCTATTACATCTCTCGCAACTCGAGATGAACAGTCTCGTGTAACACAGTTTGGCGGGGCTCATGAATGAGAATTGATTTCCCGGGCTGAAAGACTTCCTCTCGCGAATAGCTGAGAATCTACATAGTTTACGTCGGCTCGTCGGTCAACTTAATGCCCGTGTTAAATATTCACGAGATTTCACCGAAACGTCCGTGTGTCCGCGCGTATACATATATATAGGATACGTGTAATTAGTTCGTTACACCTCGTACATAAACCGCCCCGCCGAGACGACGACGACGACAACGACGGGTTCAGCAATCTCATTTTCCATGGCGCCTGGCGTTAAGCGATCTCGGCTATATTTAACGTCATCCTCCTTCCCTTCCTCCCTCCTTTCCCGGGACAGGCAGCGCTTTCGTCTGACAATTTCACGTTAATTTAATTTAATTGAGCGGAAAATGTGCGTATATATATCTGTGTGGAATTATTTACCCCGTCAAGAAATATATCTACTCTTCTATCACTGTCGATATTATCGAGTCTCACAATCGACATAATAATGTAGATATGGTACACAGAGAGAATTTTCTCTTAGAATTTACCCTGAAAATCATGGTAATCGTGCGATAATATGATATTGGAAGAATCTTATAAGAGTTTCTCGGATTAATATTTATCACTAAAAAATATTAATATGTACATAGTAAAATAGTACATAGTAGTACAATTTACTATGTACATAGTAAATTACTATTATGCACACTTGTACTATGCACACTTGTACTATGTACTACTATGTATTATTATGCACACTTTTACTATGTACTACTATGTGCTACTATGTACTATTTTAGTACATAGTAGTACATAGTAAAGTGTATATAATAGTACATAGTAAAATTTACTATGTGCACACTACTATTTACTATGTGCATAGTAAATTTTACTATGTACTATTATATACACTTTACTATGTACTACTATGTACTAAAATAGTACATAATACAAAATAGTACATAGTAGCACATAGTAGTACATAGTAAAAGTGTGCATAATAATACATAGTAGTACATAGTACAAGTGTGCATAATAGTACATAATATTGCGCATAGTAAATTTTACTAAAAATTTACTATGTACATAGTAAAATTACTAAGTACATAGTAACTGGTAAATTTTACTAAGAATTTATTATGTACATAGTAAAATTGACTATGTACATGTTAATATTTTTTTGTGGTCAATATTAATCAGAAAAACTCATAAGATTCTTCTCATACCATATTGTCGCACGATTACTATGATTTTTAGAGTTAATTTTAAGAGAAACTTCTCTCCGTGTAGAGAGGCGGAATTTTCTCCAACGAGAAAACATGAGATTATATTAGCAGATCGCGTTATTTTCATTGTTATATTTAGCAAAAATGACGAGATGATCATATATATTAATTTATATCGTTCGCCGCTCATTTAGCGGTAAATGTAGCGTCCAGATTTTTATTTGATTAATGTGAAAGTAGTATAATCATCATTTAAATTTCGTGATCGTTAGACTGATTATGACCGTTTAATTTCTATTTGATTAATGCGAAAGTGGCAGTATTGATATTACAGTTGGGTAAAACCTTAAACATCTAGTAGAGAATTTGATTCTATTTCTTCAAAAATTAAGGAATAATCTTGGAATTTAATTGGAATTTAGAGAATTTTTTTTAATTGCTCCTTTGATCATTTTTCTCTTATTTAACACTTAAGAAACATGTCTAACATATCTTTGCAATATTTAAGTTTTTATTATATGTGATTTTTTATTGACGGTTTATTTTAGCAGGAGAATTTTATAGAAAATTCAAGCTTTTAATAAGCAATATTTAAATAAATTAATATTCTTCAAGACGTATATAATTACTATTTTTGTTTCATAATTTTATTTTATATTTTTGCATACATTTTTAGCGTTTAAATATAGTTGCATCATATCGCATATTTGTTATTGTCTAAATATTTTTTAATTAATAAATCAAATAAATGTTAGAGAAACTGATAACTGATAATTTTTAATAACTGCAATCGCATGAATAAAAAACATTAGAAAGCTCATACAATAAAGAATCTTATTTCAAAAACCTGCATCTGCAAATCATTTTTTATCTTATCTGGAATTTTAAACGAAAATATCTGAAAGGTAAATTTAGGAAATTCTCAGGGAAATTTTTTACAATATTTGAGTAGATATTTTGTACATATTATAAAACGAAATAATCGTTAAATAGACATTTTTTAGTGTTGAAGATACGCCAAAAATATCTAGCAATGCGCTTTTGACTTTAATCAAGCCGAATTTTTTTCAAAACAAAAACGCTCATTCAATATGGCTAATTAGCTGCAACTTACAAGCTTTCGTAGCATCTCGATTTGCATTGAATCGAGTGTTTGTCGTCACAGCCAGGTTTTACTGTTATAAGATACCTAGCTTGTTCGCCTTCGGCGAATACCAAAGAACCGTGCAATGCAATTTTTTTTAACCAGACGAAACGTAGATTGTACTATCACGCGTGCATATTTTTCGACTGATCTGTCAGTAGTATCTTTTATAGAGAGTGCATTAACCTCATGGATTAGATTTCTCTTATGAGCACAAAGGAATCGCGAATTTTCTCGTGGAAATTTATTATCATTTCATGTTCTCTGCGCAGCAGCGAATTTGGACGCTTAAAAATTTACTCTGTAATCGAGAGATTATATTGCGAAATTAATTTTTCAAAAAAAAAAAAATTCTATACCGATTTCCTGATAATAATAAGTATTTCTTGTCACATAATTTTATATATTATATTGAAACTTGGCTATTTTCTGCTCTTTCGAGTATAGATGCCAGAAATATCCCACCTTGCTCTTTTGCTCCAAACTTTGTTCGCCGATCACGAAATCGTGATTTCAATCTTCCGATCACGTAGCACCGATCTCACGAATCTTCCGAATGTTTTCCCGCCAAATTTTTCTACAAACAAAATTTACAAATTTAAAATATATTTTTTCTTTTTAAGATATGGAAAATAATTTTAAATTATAAAACAGATTTAGCGAAAATTATAAATATATTTTATAAATTTTATTTTATATATCTACTTTTTCTATCAAAAATTTGATATAAATTATTAATACAATGTGAAAGATTGGCATATGTATATTAAATTATTTAATTATAAATCAGCGACACACATTAAGACAGCAAATAATAATTTTTCGCTATAACTATTATAATAATTATTCGAAAATATCTATTATTTAGATATAAATATATAAAAATGAGTTCCTATTAATTCGTGTCATTATAAACATTTTTTACATAAAACTTGCAATATCCTATTTACATTATCGATTGAACAAATTAATACACTAACAATAAGATTATATATTCGATTGATCTTTAAACGCGATATTTAAAGACCTGTACTTATATGAGAATAAGAGGAAATTAAGAAATATTTTGTGAAAAGATGCTGTGTTTACGACGTTCGTTGTACAATGACAGTTTACGCATCGATCGTAGCTCGTTGGTAAAGGGTTTTAAAGGAACAAAGGGACGAAACGGGAACTGGTTTTGGGAGAAGACGCGACAAGTAACGCCGTTTCCGGTTGAAGAACGTCGCAGGCAGAGACTTACTAACTGAATTATTTACTGGTCGTCTTGTGCGCAGCTTAATAATCCGATTGCATTTATCTCGGATATCCGAAAAAGACACAAAAGTGTCAAGAAATGTCAAGAATGCATTATCCCTTTCCGTGTGAACTCGAATTTTTTTTCAAGAAATCTGATGAGATATAATTTTAAAAAATTGGAAATTAAAAAATTTAATAAAACATTCTTAATTTTTTAAATAAATTTTTATGAATAACGAGACTATTAAATAGACATTAACTTTGACCTGTCAAAATATACATTAAAATTAAAAATTCCGCGTGAATTCGAATTTTTGTTCAAGAAATCTGACGAGATATAATTTAAAAAATGAATTGGAGAAAATAAAAAAATTAATGAAAGATTCTCAAATTTTTAGACATTAATTTGGACCTGTCAAATATACATTAAAATTAAAAATTCCGAGAACATAATGATTAAGTTAATTACAAGTGCAACGAAGGAAATACTCGATCGATCCCTTATTTCGTACATGGAGCACGTTTCTACGGGACAGTGAGCGCGGCCGATTGCAGATGCAATCAGCGGACGCTTCAGCGTCGCAGCCTCCAATTTGAGA